CCCGGGCTGCGGGAGGCCAAGCCCCGAGCGCCGCGGGAGGGCGCCAGCCAGGCCGCGGGTAAGTGCCGGCGAGTGCGCGTCCTGCCTCCTCTGCGCGCGGCTCTCCGACTGCCGGGCTGGCCTCCCCGTGCAGTGTCCCTCTGAGTCTGCACTTGTTTTTCTTCATCAGGACAGGTAAATTATGTATGCCCTGGGATGTCGAGGCTTTGTTTCCAAGAGTTTGCTTTTGGGTAGCCTCCCTATTTTATCCCACAGCAGCCTGTTACCCAACAGCATCAATGAGTGATGCAATCCTGCAGGGAGAATCATCAGCGCAGGCTTAGGAAAATCCCCGGAATTTGGCGCTGAAGTGCCTGACTTTGTCGTCTGCTTTCCCATTATAGAATGTGAAATAACTACTAACCAGATACATTGTGATAAAGATACAGCTTCCAGCTGGAAATTAAATAAATGATTCTTTCATTCATTATATTTATGTGCTAAATTTTCCTTATATGTGATTTGCATATTATAATTACTCTTTGAATATTTGATGACTGGTATTGGAATGAGAATCAGGGAAGAAGATAAATCCAAGATTTCTATATTTTATTACAATCACCGGGTAGGTTTTCAGTATAATAATGATCATAGTCCTGTCACTTTCATGCTGGTGAAACAAAGTAGTGAGGGCTTCTTAAATTTTTAAATAATTTGATACATGCTTAATAACTTTCTAAAGCCAGTTTATATTGATATGTAATTTATTTTTTTTAAATTTTTATTATTATTATTATTTTTGTCCTTTTTGAGACCAGCCGCACCGCGCTCAGCCAGTGAGTGCTGTGAGTGCCTCGGCCATCCCTATATAGGATCCGAACCCGCGGCGGGAGCGCTGCTGCACTCCCAGGGCTGCACTCTCCCGAGTGCGCCACGGGCTCGCCCAATTGATATGTAATTTAATGCAATAAAATATACCCAGTTTAAGTGCACATTTTGATGAAATTTGATGAACTTATACACACTTATAATACCACTACAACAGAATATTTGTCACCCTGAAAGTTTTCCAGGGTATCTCTATTCTTTTTTTTTTTTTTAGCTGCTGGTCGGTAAGGGGGTCCGAACCCTTGACCTTGGTGTTTTTTTTGGGTCTTTTTTCGTGTCTGGCAACGGATCGCAACCCTCAGTGTCGCCCCCGGGCCGGGACCGGCAATGGGATCGCAACCCTCGGTGTTGCTCCCGCGCCTCGCTCAGCC